ACAGTGTGGTGGTGGGTTCAAAAGCTGTAGAACCTAAGGTTCTGGAATCCATACTGTGTGATACCAGCTTTAATTAATCATCCTGCTTGTGCTTCAATTCCATCCTCTATAAAAATGGGACAGATAGAAATTCTTACCTTATTGGTTTTTGAGAGGATTCAAAGAGAAATTATGTGGTGCACTCTAAATTAACTCCTGTTAATCATTAAGATATGAGTGGATCCCTTTACTTGTTGGAAATGTACTTGAAAAACTCATTTTTTTACACCCGAAGTCTAAAATCTCTCTTTATACCTCAAGCCAAGCCCTCTTTCAATTTCACTTCATATACTCTTCTCACACAAAAGCTATCATCAAGAATATACTGTTACTGAGGATTTCCTGGGAGGGAATGGAGTAAGTTTATATTGTACACACCACTATAATCCTCCATAGTTATACTCCTATTTAAAATACCTCCTTTCATTGGCAATCACACCTCACCCACATTCACATGCTCCTGTTCTATACTGTTGAGAAATTCAGCTGAGATACAAATCTGACCACCCCACCCTGCACTGTGCACCAAAGGCCTCTAGGTGCTAAACAAAGCCACCTTCAATCCACATTCCAAAGGCACATCAGTAGTCAATATCAGTCATTTGGTCCCATAGAAATAATTCTAACTACACCAATACTGCTCACAATAAGGATTATGATGGATATCATTTTCTTCATTTCATTATGTGTATATGTTAAGGTCTTTCATTGTATTTTCGTTTTTATTTTCCATTTAACCCACACCATCCTGCACTGTCATGTATTCAGTCATTAAATAGATATTAAGGGCGTGTGGGCCACCCAGAGAGCTCAGCTCTGGGGATGAAAAAGTGAACCTGTCTTCAATGCCTGACACACTGAGCTATGTTTATTACCAGTCATTCTCAGTCCTATTTTAGCAAAAGCTCACGTTATCCTAGTAGCCATAAACCCATGTCTTCTTTTGCCTCCTTGAGTGAAACTCTTTTTGTGATAGGAATGTTATAATCACCTCTTTGTCTGTATCAATTCTGGCACCTGAGAGAAACCTGTCCCAGATCATCGTAGTACTTGTCCCATTCTGAGTGGGAGTGTCCAGATTACAGCATGTTTCCTTGTCATTTAGGTTCAGGTCAGAGAACTCCAGCTGTTCAGACAATAGCTACTGGATTTAATTTGATATTTCATAAATCCCCTGCTGTGGATAGGTGACATCACCCATGCAATCCTCTGCTCTCCTTCTCTTTAAAATGGATATAGTAATCTCCACAGAGAAGGGTGATCCTGATATCTGAGCTATTGCTGTGAGTGCTCAAGTCTCCTTTGTGTTTCCAGGAGCACCACTGAAGTGATTAGGAGCCTGGACCCAACCCTCACAGCCTGGATGACAGAAGCCACACCAACCAATGGAAGTGATGAGTACCGTCCTCCAATCTGTGACATTGATAGTCTGACACCAAAAGCATTGACCTTCGTCATTTCCCTGGTTGGGCTGACTGGAAATGCATCTGTCATCTGGTTTTTGGGTTTCCGCATGCACAGAAATGCCTTTTACACCTACATCCTAAACCTGGCTGTAGCTGACTTCCTCTATCTCTGCTTTCATATGGTGAATGTCCTGAAGGAAGTCATCTCAGTCATCTCTACCATCCACAGCCCTACATATGGCATCATAACATCTGGGAAAATAATTTTCTACATTGCAGGCCTGAGCATGCTGGGCGCTATCAGCACTGAGC